GCACCAGCTGAACTCACTGATGGATTTGAACTGAAACAGGGCAATGTTGGGATAAACGCATATCATATGAGTAAGTCTCCTATCAGCCATTTTACACTTTTCAATAATAATGAGGCTGTATAATGGTCTGTGGGAATGACCTTGGGAGACAGGAGGGAGAGCTGCAGACTGGACCACCGGTGTGGAAAGGATGTCTCAGCCCACTGAAGGAAGGAGGGTGTGGGAAGCATTTCAGAAGGCACCCTCCCTAGTCTTCCAGAGAGTAAAAGGAAAGGAGGGGAGAAATACTCTCGGTCTTGCAAGATTCTGTTAATTTAACCCTACAATAAAGACAGAGTTAGTATTCATTGTTGTGCTTCTTGTCTGGACTACCTCCAAGGGCTAACAAGATGACAGCCAGGCCTTTTAAAATGTTCTCAAGAGTGTCATGTGAAAAAAAAAAGATTACTTGAAATAATCTCATCTTAAGATCATAAGAAACATTCTGAATATTCTGTAAGACATTGGTTTATTAATATGGGACAGTCCCGTTCTTCATTCCAGAATTCTTTCAAGTAACTAATATCCTCCTTAGCAATGCTTTTTAATTTTTTATTAAAATATATTGCTGACTTTAGAATCATCCAGGAGTTTTAGATGCTGGACCAACTGGTGAACTCGAGAGATGTTTTCATTGAATATCCTGCCATCTGGCAGTTTTAGGCACTCTGGATTCTTCTTGCAGTGGCTCAGATGGTTTAAATAACTTGACTTGGCAATATGCAGATTTAAAGAATTAATTCCTCTAATTGCCCATGACTTTGAAAGAAAGCCTGTTTACATGGGCTTTCTGTTTAGCTATTATGTGGAACAGTTACTGAATGGAACTATCTGTTTAACCAGAATGCATGTAACTGTCAGCCTTTTGAGATAGTCCAGACAGGAAACATGCCCAGATGAACTAATTCTACGTTATCGTAAGGTTACATTAACAGAATCTTGCAAGTCTGAAAGTACATTTCTTCCCCTTTGCCTTTACAGCCCAAGAAAAACTAGGGAAGGTCCCTTCTGAGATGTTTCCACACTCCCATTCCTTCTGTGGGCTCAGCTGCCTCTTATCCAACTGTTCCCCCTGCTGTGGCTCTTCCCCCTGTCTCCCAAGGTCATTCCCACATACCATTTCAGTAACTCATCTTCCCATTAATGCTGAGAGTCTCAGCATTGGCTGTAATGACTGAGTTTTAATCCCAGATCATTGGAAGGGAAACAATTAGATTCTAAAACAAGATAAATGTAATGGACAGATTTCTTCAAGTCCAGCTTGACTCCTGGTGACTCCATGGAGTGTATTTGGCAAAAATATGACAATAGTTTGCCACTGCCTACTTTGGGAAGTTTTTTTTTTTTTTCTCTTTGCACTTCCAGTCTAAGCTACAGCCTTAGTGTTTCTGGTGGTCTCCCACCCAAGTGCTGACCAGGCTCAACCCTGCTTAGCTTCCCTTCTCTTCCTCTGCATTCTTCAAACTTGGCAGCTTTAAGATGTGTGGAGTTCAGCTCCAAGAATTCCCCAGCCAGCATGGGAGTTGAAGTTCACAGATCTTAAAGTTGCCAAGGTTGAAAAACAATGGTCTAAGTGCTGTTATTGCTACATGCTTCTTGTTTTAAAGTTCTTCACTCTTCACTCCTTCACCACTTTTCCTGCTCACACCCCATGCATAAAATCTCACGCCTGGCTTTTCTGTCCTTCTTTTCCCCTTGTAGGAATTTGTCATGATTGTTGTTTTTGGAATGGAATACATCATCCGAATCTGGTCAGCTGGCTGCTGCTGCCGCTATCGGGGTTGGCAAGGCCGTTTTCGGTTTGCCCGCAAGCCCTTCTGTGTCATCGGTAAGCATCTGGTGGGGACTGGGAGGCACGTCAGAAGGACTCTTGTGGTGCCCCAACATGGCTGGGGAGAAGAGGATGGAAGGAGAGTGGGAAAAGCACATGTTTAGAATCTGTGCTTTTCCCAGCATAGTTTTGGGTAAAGGTCCATCATCCATACTCCAGACAGCTGTGGGTAGCAACAGTTTATTTGGCTGGAAAAGTCATTTATTTTAGGCAAGGTATGGAGTTCAGTCTGCCATCTAGACAGGGAGAAGATTCTGAGTTGCCTAGCTTTGTGGGGCAGTGAAGATTCTCCAGTGGTTCTTCAGCGGAATGGAGATGGGAAGCCAGGGGAAAAATCAGGGAAAAACCCTCTTTAACTTTTCCCAAGCTTTGTTTTGCTAGGAAAAATGAAAAAAAAAAGGGATTATGAAATATTAAGTATATTTAATGTTTACAGGATGCACATAATTGTTAAGAAAAAGCTACATTACTACTACTCAGCCTTTATCTCCAAAGATTTCCAAAAACTGTGTCATAGGAAGAGTTTTATGTAAGACTATTCACATCATGACAATTCCAGTCCACAGGCGACAAATGATACTATATAACTCTCAAATGCAGGAACAATATTATATCTTTTGCTCCCGAGCTCCTTAGTAGACGCTATGTAATCCTTTGGATTCAGTTCCAAAAAGGCTCTTGGGATGACAATGACGATAAGATGTAGAACCTATCTGCAACCCTTTAAAGCAGCTTCATCTTTTCCCTGGATCATGTGATAGCTGCTGAGGGAAACTGTGATCCTGGGGAAAAGATGTAGTAACTTTAACAAGATGTGAACACATTTGCATTCCTACTGGGGTCCAAACCATACTTTCCAAATTATTTTTGAAGCATTACACAAACCTAATACTCTGTCCTTCTTTGCTCATAGAATTCTAGAATTTATTTGTCAATAAATACCCATCTTGCCCTAGACGTCAAAACATTGGGAGTGGAGGTAACATTAGCAGCAGAAAACAGAAAAAAATCGGTTGCATCAAAATTTCCTGAGATTTTATGTAACATATATTAATATTTATGTAATGTTTTCACATCCCACTTCCAGTTATTACACACGTAAAAGTAGTTTACGATCCATTCGTGTAAAAATGCAAACAGGAGATTAAAACAGGGTAGAAATAACATACCCTTCCTATGAATTTGCTACCACTATGAGCATAATTGCAGCTCTTTATGGGGTTGCCCTTACAACAGATCTCTCACATTTCGCCTGCCCTAACTCTGTTCCAAGGAACTCTTGGCTTGGGGGACAGGAGCGATGGCAAAATGAAGGAAAAAAAAGTTGTGGTATCAGGACGAAAGGCCCACTTTTTCAGAGCTGGGGAAAGGCAAAATAATAATAATTTTTTTTTTTTTTGGTGTTGAACCCATGGGTTCTGTTCCATGAAGTAAACAGAAGGAGCCAGCTTCCATTTGGAAGATGTTATCCTGAACAAACAAGAACATTTGTAGTTGTAGATTTATATTGGTTATGTTCACACAGCACACAGAATTGTCCTATTTTCTGGATGCGCTCAATACATTGAACCATGCAGTAATAAACACAGCCCCTAAATCAGTGTTTCTCAACCGTAGCATCTTCAAGATGAGTGGACTTCAACTCCCAGCATTCCCCAGCCAGCGTGCTAGCTGGGGAATATTGGGAGTTGAAGTCCACCCATCTTAAAACTGCCAAGGTTGAGAAACACTGCCCTAGATGGAAGCTACAGCTCGATTCTTTCTCTACACGTGCTAAGGACACATGGCACAATGACTTCCAGGTATGTAAGATGACTTCTGGGCTGATGACTTCCAAGTATGTAAGATCTGAACTTCTGTAATTTCCAATCATTTGGAAAAGCTGCTGCGTTTGAATTCAGCAACACCTAGAAAGCCCATCTATGCAGACTTTCTTCTCTGCCACCAGACATGTAGGAAATATTGCTTAACTCTTTCCCTCTTGAAGTCATCTGAACTGTGCAGTTCATGGAGTTTGTATAACCCCATGCAGGTATTCTGTGCAAAAGGCGTCTGACAAAGGTTCCCTTTTTCCATTTGAGTAGCAGATGACAGCATCTGACCAACTTGGAACTAAACAGGTTTGGATCTGGTTAGGACTTGGATGGGAAAGCACCAGGGAATATCAGGGCTGAAGGCTAGACAAGGATGTTGGAAAAAACATGCTGGAAGAAAGCAGTGGAAAACCACTTCTATGTTGTTGCCAAAAAACCCAACATGGATTATCTATGAAACCTCCAGGATCTAAGCTTGAAGGAGAATTGACTATGCTAGCAGAATGAAATAGCATTTTATGGAAGTCTTCCATAAGACAGCAGGTGGGACAGAATTGGGAGCAAGATTCTCTTGGGGCCTAAATGGAAAGACACCTTCCCCCCACTACTGTGGTCGTCAGAGAGGTATGGATGCTAGAAACAGTGGTCCCCCAAGGGCAAGTGAGTTGTCTTTTCCTCAAGCCTGAGTCTGTCCTTATGACAATTATGTGCATACTTGTTAAGAAAAGGCTTAATTATTACTACTCAGCCATTAACTCCAAAGAGATTTTAAAGAACTGCTTTTGAATGCTTTTGTTGCCATGAAAAAGCTTTGGTGTGATCTCAGATATCTCTGCTCTGAATATGGTTACAGAGATGGTGTCTTGCATCTTCCAGCTGTCATTTTTTTTCTCCTGATTAGCCATGGTTCTCCAGATCTCCAGAGACTATTTCAGACCACAGTTGTTTTTGACCGCAGACTTCAAATCCTTGACTAATCCTTAAGCCAACCAGATTAACTCATACTTTAAGATTCCCTAGGGATTTCAGGACTAGCCCCAAGGGCACAGAAGAGCAAACTTTTGAATTGTGGAGCACATATTTTTCATCTGCTTTTTTTAATTCAAAGAGGCACATTCTTCTCCAATCCCCTAGAGGACAAAAAAGTGTAAGGGTGTGCTTGACCCAGTTGTGACTTTTGGCTCTTCTTTAAAGGTTGGTTGGTTTCTTTGCTTTGCACCCGAGGAACTGATGTCTGTGCAATGCACCTGTCAAGCTACTGCTGAGACCACAGGTTGTAAGTTTCCTTCTCTTTTCCTTCTCTTCCTATGCTTCAGATTTCATCGTCTTTATTGCTTCTCTGGCCGTCATTGCGGCTGGCACCCAGGGGAACATCTTTGCTACCTCGGCCCTACGCAGCATGCGCTTCCTGCAGATCTTACGCATGGTGCGCATGGACCGCCGCGGCGGCACTTGGAAGCTTCTTGGCTCAGTGGTCTATGCCCATAGCAAGGTGAGTCCCTGGAGAGAAATCAGCCCAAGGAAGGCACAGGGGTCTGCTCTGAGGGATGGAGACAAGGACTCTTGCTTTTTGTTCTGACTTTGTGTGTCTGCTTCGGGAGAGGGAACTGAAGGCTGGAATAACCGGACACCATCCGTCCCTGGAAAGTTCAAGGAGACTCCCCAAACCTGCTTCATCCCAGAATAAGCCCTTGTGTAAAGCAGAGAAGAGTGGAGAACCAATTGCTCCGCTGAGTTTCCAGAGATACTATGGATCACGCTGGCCAAAGGCTGCCGGGAATTGTAGTTCCATAGAGCTCTGGGAGCCCACTGGTGCAAAGCAGAGGAATTCCTGCTGCATTCCAGATGATTCCTCAGTGAGATCAGGAAGAAGCAAGTTCTACAACAAAATGTTACAGCCTCTCTGTCCTGCCTCCAGCAGGAGTGTTCATGCTTAGATTTAGTCCAGCCTGTTATGCTCTTCTCCAGAATGCCTTTAAAAAATTATCCTCCCCATCCTGATCTAACAGGATATATTCCATACCCCCTTTTTCTTTTCCAACTGACACTCAATTTTTCCCAATCAGCAAGTACCTCCAGTCCTTATTAGGCCATTGGAGGGAAAGAATTTTTTGTAGGTTGCTTTCAAAAGTTATTAATGCTTGCAAACCATGGAGCGCATGGTTCTCCTGCTCATGAGGATGCCTCTGTTTTGACCTACTGTGGTCCTCTTTGGGCATAGTTCTTGTTGACACTCTCCAGCAATGCCTGCAGATGGAGGGAATGACGAGGCACGTGAGCTGGCAAGGCAGGCGATGAGGACCACACACAGAACCATTTTGGAAACACAAGCCAGGTGCCACCAACCAGCCAGCAGGAGAAAAAGATTGCAACAGTCCATTACAAAAGAGCAGGAGAAAGAGGATTTCAACCTTAGGGCATGCTTATAGAACCAGATTCTTACTGGTTGTAGAAGCTGCTGTACATCATAACTAGGTTTCTTGTATCTGCAATGATGTATCTGACCTGGTCCTGGTTTCCCAGGAGAGCTCCAAGTTCCTGAGAGGAAATTATTGAAACTTCCTGGAAGTAACTCCTGACAAAGTCCAAGCATCCTTGTAAGAAAGCTGGCTTTCACCTAACTCTCTTCCACTGCCATCTGCATCCCCCCACCCCCACCCCAATGCTAAGCGTGTGGTTCTAGGTGTGTGGTGGAAAATCTTCAATGGTTCCACGGGGCCAAGAAGAGATGGGACATGCAGTTATTGCAGCATCCTGAGCAAGCGTAACCGGAAAACTTGTACTGCACAGGGATTGTGCAAGGATTGTGCAGATCTGGAAGAGTCTCTCCATAAGTCCTGGAAAGATCTTCTCATAAGTGTGACATTCCCTGTAAAGTGGAAGCAGTTAGAAAGTCACAGATGAAAGAATAGGAGGTAACTTTAGTAAGAGCTCCCTAGGGAAACCTTGTAACCGTCAAATGCCCCAGGGAATCACTAGGCATATGTGTGTGTATGTGTGGTGTAGGTATGTTGTAATTCAGGAATGTTCCATGATGCAGGCAAGTCGTGCTTTTTTGATAAAGTGACCTTTGTTGGGCATCTATATTTAGCCCTGTGTCATCACTCCCTATTAGTATGAGGGATGAAAGGACATAGAGTCAATTAGTTTGCATTTATGTCCAATTCCCAACGTTGCGTCTTATCTACCTCCAAATGCATGCACAGGTCAGGTGTTCTTCCTCAGTGTGGGAAAAGAGAGACTGGATGGGGGTTATGGGTTCCCTTGTTCCCTTAGCTTTCAGGTATGCAGGCTGAATTAGATGAAGCCTTTGGCTTCTCATCCTTAGCTTTCCTAGTAGGCCGAGGTGGTAGAGTGGTGAAGGTGATGAACTGGGACCAGAAAGGTTCAAGTCCATCTACAGCTTGGAAGACCAGCCTGCCTTACAGGGATGCTGCTGTGTAGGTAACATTGGAAGGAGAACTATATATGCTAAATGATGATGATGATGATGATGATGATGATGATGATGATCCTTAGCCAGGCTTCTCTCCTCTCTCTGATTTTATTTGCTGAAATCTACTTTTCTCTGGTGGACTCTGGCAGGAACTGATCACAGCGTGGTACATTGGGTTCCTTGTCCTTATCTTTGCCTCTTTCCTGGTCTACCTGGTGGAAAAAGATGCCAATGATGATTTTCTCACCTATGCAGACTCCTTGTGGTGGGGTACGGTAAGTGTGCCTCCCCTTTTTTTTTATCCGGACCACCTTTTTGCTAAGTGGGAAGAAGGACTGAAAGCTTGAAAGCAAACTGACATGTGAATGAACTGGTGGACAAAGCATGTTCTTAGACAAGTAGAAAGCGACCAGAGATATCAAGATTGGCACAAATAGGGGACAGGTATCGATGCTATCCAGCTATCCTGTATGAACTGGATATCTCTGTCCCTACCTGGCTCCTCCCAGTTGTGTTGGAACCGGAACTCCTGGAGATGCCTTCAGCCACGCTGGCTGGGAACACGGAGCTGATATCTCAGCACACCAGGAGAACATCAAGTTGGGGATGGTTGATCTTCCAAGATACAGAAATGTGACAGATACTGCACTGGGAAACAAACTGTAAATTGAGAGGTTGCAACCAAACCAGCAACTAATACTGTCGTTACCTAATAGGAAGAGATATGTCCCCTTTTTAAAGTGGTTTTCTTTTTCTATCAAGAGCCATGTGCCAGGTGCATTTTTCATACATGTAAACAAATTGGGATAGGAATCAGGAGCAGCAGATTGTGCTGTTGGCGCAGAGAGGTGGAAGGTGCCAGGAAAGAAATGGTCGTGACGTCTCCTTCTGTGATTTCAGATCACACTCACCACTATTGGCTACGGGGACAAGGTCCCGAAAACATGGCTGGGCCGGGTGCTGACAGCCTGCTTTGCCTTGCTGGGAATCTCCTTCTTTGCTCTTCCTGCGGTAAGTGGTCCATGAGAAACAGGAACACCAGGCTCCCTGGGGGGTGGGGGGTGGGGGTAGCATAGGATGGGCGGTGGCAAATTCGATAAATAAATAAATTAAACAAACAAACAAACAAACAAACAAACATACTCCTAGGCCAGACTGGGTATAGGTGGTTGCCTACGCTCAGGGTAGTGGATTGGTTGTGAAGTGGGACAGAGAGCATGAACATCTAGGTGCGAGTCCTCATTCAACCATGGGATCTCCATGGCCCATCAGTTTCAGTTATAAGACCCAACTCATAAGGTTGGGTTTGCTATTGCCTCCTTCTAGGCTATTTTTTAAACTTTCCAATCTACTCTACAACCCTGGGATTTTCAACAGTTCTCCCATTCAAGTAGTAACCAGGATAGACCCAGCTTAGCTTTTTTTGAGATCAGCCCAAGTTAGGTAGCTACTGATCATTTCCTATAGCCTCTTCTGTCTTTTTTCAGATCACAAAAAGGAGGAGGGAAAGAGTTGTGTAATTTTGTACTGGTTGTCCCCATGAGTCTGCTGTCTGGAAGGTCTTCAAGCCCCTGAGAACATACTGAAATATTGGGAATCTCTTTGGTGTAGACTTTTGGCCTCTTGCCATCCTAGATAGCTGGCTTTTTCTCAACAAATAACACAACTTCCCCAAATTCTTGGACCTTCCTTTCAGTTAGAACTTAAGTACTGTTCTGAAGTGCCCTGCTGTTTTTTTTACACAGGGAATTCTAGGCTCAGGGTTTGCTCTCAAAGTCCAAGAGCAACATCGACAAAAACATTTTGAGAAGAGAAGGACACCTGCAGCAAACTTGATCCAGGTGAGTGAAAAGGGAAGATCCTGATTTTTTTCTCTTTTTATCCTCCCTCCCTGTTAAAAGAATGTGACCAAAGCTAGAAGCTAAGGAATGGCTGAATAAGTTTCTTTCCTCAAGCAATTACAGGTATGTTCTCTGTAGCTCCATCTCATAACTATCAGATAATATTAACAATCAAACTCATGTGCGTTTCTGAAAAGCACAGCCTTGGACTTTTCTAAATATGACAGATATAATGAAGTGCGTGCACATGTATGCCTGGGCTGTGGTGGGTTGGCCCCTCTGTCTCTCTCTAGCAGATACCCCTAAGCTCTTCCTCAACAATCTTTATTTCACCCTCCCAATTCCTGGCTTGTGAGGTACACTGCCCCTGTTCTCTTTATTTGAATGAAAAATTCCTCTCCATTCTGATTTCTTTAGGAGAAGAGAATTGGCAAACCTTCTGCCTTCTCTTAGTACTTCAGCTGGCAGAGGGCAGATGTTAGAGGCACAGGGCTCTTTCCACTACTTGGATTGACAGGTTTAGGTTTGATGGACAGGTCAGATTTAAATTTTCCTTAAGCTCTTTCATGCCTGAACCCCTTCACCTGGGATAGGACTACAGGAGGAGACCGAGACTCAGTGACACGTGTAAGGATAAGTTCCTCTCTTCATTGGCAGAGCTGGGAAAGGAAGTTCTGCCCACGTGTCAGCCCTGCAAGATAGATCAGACTAAGAAATCATTCCCACGTACTGTAGGCCTGGACCGCTTTTATTGTAACACCTATAGCAGCAGAATCTTGCAAGACTGAATGTGCGTCCCCCTCCCTTCATCGTAGTGTGAACTAGGGAGGGGCTTGTCTGAGATGTTTTCTCAATTTATTTTCTTGGCCCGGGTTCAAGCCCCTCTTATCTGACTGTTACCTTGGTAGCGGCTTTTCCTCCTGTCCTTCAAGGCCATTCCCCATTCCCTCTGTACCATGCCATGAAAAAGCTTCTACCAGAGATTGTTTTCCCACTTACCCCATCTGTGCCACAAAGACCTTTCTCCGCCATATCCACGCACACTGCTTTTACCCCCATACCCAACCCAGGAGTGAGAAAAACCTTACATTGTCCTTAGCTGTACTAGTGATAAAGTAGTCTTTCCCCCCTTATTCAGACACCGTCCAAGGGCAGCTTCAAAATCATCTAGGCTTTGTCATCTCTCCCTTGGAGGAAAGTCAGGTGACTGGCACTGCCTGTAAAACAAGTGAGAGAGGCAGAAGAGAGAATGGCAGTAAGGACAGAAAGTATTTTGTCAGTCTAGTTTTCTGCCAGCTTTGATTTAGCAGTAAGGAAAGACTCTGGGTAAGTCTTACTGGCAGGGCAGGAGCTAAGGAGAAAAAGAATGCATTTCTCTGCAAAGGATTGTGCATAAATGGAATCCCCAGAATCTTTGGATAGAAGGTGCAGAACAAGAAGAAAACAGCCTTTTTGACTAATCAGGAGCCACCACCCTTTATGTACATATGTAGGAAGCTATAGCCTTCCACCCGGCCAGACTCTTTGTCTGTATCCCAGAACAAGATCTTTCTAACTGGAGGTGCCCCAGTTTCAACACAGGACTTTCCAAGGCAAGGCATATTTTGTTCTGTTGCTGAGCAAGGGCCTTTGTAAGGGTTCCTTGGAAGTCTTTTTGACCCCCTGCCTTTCTCCAGCTGAGACCCATGAGTTAGCGGCTTGCTTCTTTTGTTTTAAAATAACCTTTATTAAGATAACATTTTACATAAGGTGAAAAAAAACCATGGAAACATAAAAAGGAAAGTAGAAAAAAGGAGATATCAAAGAATAGAAGAAAAAGTGAAAGAAAAGAAAAGAAAAGAAAAGAAAAGAAAAGAAAAGAAAAGAAAAGAAAAGAAAAGAAAAGAAAAGAAAA